ATTGAATTTAATATCACATTAATGTCATTTAGACTGTGTTTTCATCCCCAGTAGAGCCTAAAAAAATTCTTAGAAAAATAAATAAATTATTTAAAAAATATTTTTACAATTAAAAAAAATTTATTTGTATATATAATACAAATTTACAATTTTATCCCTTCTAAAATTAATGAAAATGGTAAAAAGAAGTTGAGTGGTCATGGTGAAATGTTATATGAAATTGGGTGGCCATAGTGAAACGTCATATCAAAATTGGATGACCATGGTGAAATAAAATAAAGTTGGGTGGCCATGGTGACACTAAATATAAAGTTCAGTGGCCATGGTGAAACAAAATAAAGTTAAGTGGCCATGTGGACACAAAGTTTAAAGTTCAATGGTCACAAGGGTATTTAACCCAAAGATGATCACTTGAAGTTGAAATAAATTGGAATAAAAATTGGTGGGAAATTGGAAAAATGCCAATCCCATGTAGGAAAACTAGAAGAATAGAAACCACTTTATATTGCTCAAATTTGTGACTAGGTTTGGGCCCCAAGAGGTACTAATAGTTTTTGAAGGGGAGAAAACCTACATGTTAGTGACTGAGCCAAAGCTCCCACGCGCGTCGTCCTACCAACTCGACTAGATTTTTTGGTAAAATAATATTTGAATTATATTATTTTATTATTTTTAAAATAATAATATATTTATTTATATTATTTTTCCAGAATTTTTTGTGCACGACACGTGTTTTCTTCTAGAAGATGGCAGTTGACAGTTAAACTGTAGTCCAAACAGTTTGTGTCTGTTGAAGATACAACTTTTCTGATGTTGTGTCTTTTGGACAAAATATTTCAATTTCTATATAAAGGTCCCCATACCGCCATTTTTATTCATTCCAAAATCAGAATTGATTTTATTCTTTTTCCAAATTTATCCATTCATCCCTGCATTATTCCACATTTTGCAATTCAGTCTCGAAAATTATTTTCGTGCATTTTAGTCTTCCAATTTTTAAGAGAGATCAAAACGTGAGTAGGTTCGTCGGGTCTTGTAATTTGAAATGCTACTATTACAAGTCGAGGTCGTTGTATCTTGGAAAACTAGTGCCAAATTACCGTTAGCACCAGTGCGGGACATTATCATCTTAAGGAGAAATAGTTGAACTCTTGTCTCGACCATTAATATTTTATATCGTTCATTTTTGCAAGTCTTTATTCTGCCCAAATCGATTCACGGTAATATCATTATTTGCCAACAAAGCTGAGCTTTTGAAAAGTGCTTCCAAGATTAAGAAACCACTTTTGAATATGTTTGGATAATTTTCTGAGAGCGCTTTGTCGGGCTCGAAGAGCTTTTAGAGGAAGTTGATCTATAATACCTTCTTCAAGAAGCCCGTCTACAAGATGCGGGAGCATTGCCTAAGTTTCATAATGGCCATAGAAACTTACAAACTTTTTTTGAACTTCTTTGCAGCAAGACATCTGATCAATAAGAAGAAGGTGCAAGTGATTCTTGGACCAAGATCATGGGAGGAAACATCCATTGTTGCTGAGGTTANAAGAAGGTGCAAGTGATTCTTGGACCAAGATCATGGGTGGAAACATCCATTGTTGCTGAGGTTATTGAACACAATGATGTTCCAATTCTATCATTTGCCGACTCTAGTTCGCCGTGGGCAGCTGAGCGTATCCCGTTCCTTGATAAAGTGGCGGCCAGCACATACACACAAATGAAGGCAGTAGCTAATATAATTCAATCCTGGGGGTGGCGCCGAGCAAATGTAATCTACGAGGACACAGATTCTGCAGCAATGGCATTAGTCCTTATCTACATGGTGCTCTACAAGAAGTAGATGTCCAAATAAGCAATCTTTTACCCCTCCCTTCTTTTGCTGATTCCTCTTTGTTGCACAAAGAACTTGGAAAGTTGGAAAAGAGCAATGTAGAGTGTGTGTTGTGCATACTTTTTTAGCACTCGCTATGCGTATTTTTGGAAAGGCTGACGAAATGAAGATGATGGAGAAGGAATTTGTATGGATCACCACTGATTCTATTACAAGTTTGGTGCATTCCATGAATTATTCATTAGTTTCCTCTATGCAAGGTGTGCTAGGAGTGAGGAACTCTTTTCTTGAGACTTGACCTGATTTCCATAGTTTCTCCTCAAGATTTCTTCAAATATTCGGCAGGAATTACCCTGAGGAAAAGCATCACGAGGAATTTTCGCGCTTCAGGCCTATGATGCCATGCAGACAGTGGGATTAGCAATGAATCAAGGCGATGTCAACAGTGGCCGGAAACTTTTGAAAAGTATTTTGAAAATATATTTCAACGGATTAAGTGGGAAAATCCAGTTTATGCAGCAAAAATTAGAGCCTGCGACTCAATTTCAGATAATCAATATCATTGGAAAGGAGTATAGAGAACTGGGATTTGGACTGGTGAAGGATTCTCCAATAGTATTGATGGAGTGTACAGTTCTTCCATGGAGAGAGTAGGACATGTTATTTGGCCTGGAAGTCCATGGTCTGCTCCAAGAGGATGGGATCTTCCAACGACTGAAAATCCTTTGAGAATTGAGTTCCCAATGGATCCAAAACAAACAAGTTTGTAGAAGTTAATTATGATCCTTCAACAAATCAGTACACTTTTTCGGGATTTTCTTTGGACGTGTTCAATGAAACTGCAAAGCATTTGAAGTACCCTCTACAATATCAATTCATTCATTTTGGAGGAAAATATACTGATTTGGTAAAGAAAGTTCAATCAAGGGTAAGACATTCTATATTCTCGTAGTGATATTTTGCTTTGAGTTAATTCGATACTGACACAAGTCTTAATGGTTTGAGCAGGAATTTGATGCAGCAGTTGGTGACATTACGATAATATCAAATCGATGTGAATACGTAGACATCATGCATCCTTATATCGAGTTAGGACCGGTAGTGGTAGTGCCAAGACTTCTATCAAATTCAAGCACAACTTGGCTGTTCACAAAAGCCATGTGGTTGCTCACATTATTCATTAATGTCATTAATGGATTCGTCTAATTGAGTATTGAGCAAAGTTACCGCTCTGAACTAAGAGGACCAGTTCTGAACCAAATAGGCATTCTACTTCGGTTGGCTTTCGCCACATTGTTTTCATTACACGATAACATATAACACACAAGATGATCGAAAATATGATTTGAATGAAATTTTGTTGATTTTTTCCAGTTTAATTTGTCGACAGGGGAAAAATTACATAGCAATTTGTCACGTAAGACAATGGTGGTGTGGCTTTTTGTGGCTCTGACCATCACACGAAGTTATACAGCCAGCCTTACCAGCATGCTCACAGTGCAAAATCTTGTACCAAAAATAACAAATATTGAGACACTAAAGAGCAAAAACGCGTTGATTGGCTCCTCGCAGAAATCCTTTGTCAGAGAATACACTTGTTCACGTTTAGTTCTGATTCAATTTTTTTTTATCAATAGTCTGTCGTGCAAAAATTTTGGTTGTCGATAGTCTGACACTTTTCTTCATTTGTCTTGTGATTTTTGGAATAGGATTCTAGTTGAAAGGATGTAATTTCACATGGACCTATCTATTATGTTTATTTCTAGATAAGGATTTCAGCAAGTGTTTGGTGGTCTCCTTCCTAATACATATTGGCATGCATAGAATTGAAAATACATGCTTTGACTTGATAATGCCTTTCCAAGTGTAGACCAAAGTTATTTCGAATTTGAAATTTTGAAAGAGTATGCATGTAAAATTGTTCAAGACAAAATACAGTCATTGCACCAGTAATTATATTATAATAGATTAAACGCGCAAAGTAGTTGAAAGACGCGAAGGTATCGTTTCCAAAATTTTGCATAGATAAAATATGCCTTATATGCAAGATGGAAGACGTACTGATATGGTTTTCAACCCATAAGAAGTATCTTCACAAATGAATATATGACATATATTTAAAATATCGTTCGGATTAACATACGATATATTTTTTTTCAAGATTAACACGGTGATACTACATTGACAACTTGCTACATAGTTACCTTGAGAGAAAAAGAACTCACTAGGACACAAAGTTCATAGTTCTTGTTTGCACTATTTTAATTGTTTCAATCTTTGCTTATCATCATCTTTTATTTTCAATTTTTTTGTTACATTCTTATCATCAACATTTCATTAGTCAACATAGCTTATTCTTGATGGCGATTCGTACAAAAACTCGTTAAGAGGACATAAAACGATTTATGTGTCTCTCATTTTAAAAAATACAAATATACGATTGAATATTGTTCCTCATTTCAAAACACACTAATAGAATATTTTGATAGACACTGTTATCAGAGATAATCTATCCTAATTAATTGAAAATTAAGAGTAAATGGTTCGATCTGATGGAAGAAACACTAATCTTAAAGAGATACTGAGAAACAAGTGAAATAATATCACGCAACAGTGATTAAAATTAATCTCATAATAAATTAACCAACTGTACACATCATTGTTTACAATGAACAAAAAATTAAAGAACAATAAATTACTCATTATTACAAATATGAACCTGTAAAATCTGATCCAAGTTCTAGGACAACTACTTAAAATGACCAAGAACATAGACCAGGACCAAAGACATTGGGTACAACAAATAAGCAAAGAATGATGTCCAAACGGGGAAGACTGTCCTAAAACTTGCAAGGCATCCCATAATAACAGAAA